GCCAGGTCTGAACCCAGGGAATCTAGCTCCAGGGTCCATACTCTTAACTATTTTGCATTTTGCACAGTCCCTAATAAAGGAGAAATGTCACTTCAGGTAGTGGTACAAAGAAACAAAAAATAATAGATGAAGGGCACTAGAAGCCAGGGCATGTATCTGATGTGTTGGCATTTGAGTAGAGTCCTATAAAAAGATTCACCCATGTGAAGATCAAAGGAACATGTGCAAAGGCCCAGAGGCGGGTTAGGAATTGGCTTGTTGGAAGACCAGAAAAGACCAGCCATGGTGGCTAGAGCCTAGTGAGGGGGGCTCTCTGTGCTCTTAATAGGCAGACTCCCAAATCTTAGTGTCTCCCATAGTAGCTGTAGCTCTTGCCTATGGGTTTTCCTGGTCAGCAGGTGGTCATTCAGGGACTTAAGCCCCTGGGTGGCTGTGGCCAACTGTGTAAGGGAAGAAGTGGGAGAAGTGTTGATGGGCCAGGAGGTGGAGCACGTTGGCTCTGTGGTTTAGAACCCAATCACATGGCCTAGCAGAGGAGCTGAGTGAGGTGGGAAGTTAGCCAGACCTGGACACAGGAATGGCTGGCGGGGTGCAGGCAGAGAAAAATCAGGTTTGGTGTAGTCTGTACAGTTGGTTGGATTTGCTGATGGCAGGAGTGAAGGAAGACAAACCCCAAGAGTAAATCTAGGATGCTTTGCTGCCCAGGGAGAAGCCAAGGCTTGAGCAATAGCTATGCTCCTTTGTGCTGACAGCGCTGTCCTGCTGACATGATTATTCTCACACTGGTCCTCCTGGCTGTCCCTGTGCCCTTTGCCGTGTGACTGGGCAAGTCTCCCCCATGCCTTGAGTCTGGGCTGGGCCTGTCACTTGCTTCTGCAGTAGGATGCAGTAGAAGAACGGTGGTGTCATTTCTCAGCCTGGGGCTTAAGGAACCTTGTGACATCTGTTCCCACTCCAGGGTCCTTGGCACCTGATGCTGATGAGAAGTTATTGGAGGATGAGGCTGTGTGGAAGACAGGGCCCAGTCATCCTAACAGAAGCTGTCCTAAACCAGACTGTAGTAGGCTGACTGCAAATATGGGAGAGTTTTGCCAAAATCAGCAGGCCCCTACCTGATCTAGGCTGTCTCCAGGTGTTCCAGGGAACCCAGCCAGGCCCAGAAGTGCTCAAAGTGTCTGTGGACTCGTCAATAGCACACAGTCACGTGCTGTATCATGACATTTACTTCAACATCAGACTGTACACACCATAGCACTTCTGTAAAATTACAATGCAGCTGAAAATCACTATTGCCTAGTATGTTTAGTGTACCTTTTTTTTTGGAGACAGGGTCTTGCTGTGTAGCTCAGGCTGGCCTTAAATTCACTATATAGCTGGGACTATAGGCATATACCACTAGCCCCTGCTCCTTGCTTTACCGTTTCTATGTTTGCATACACAAACACCATTGTATTACAGGTGCCTACAATATTCAGTACAATCACAGGCTTCACTATATCATCTCGGTGTGCAGTGGTTACACCATCTAGCTTGTGTCAGTATACTCTATCATGCTCTCACAAACTTACTGTTTGAAGATACTGGGTGTTATGGTGATTTGTTCCTCACAACAGATGACTGATCGACTTCCACAAGTAGGCAAATATGGTCATGGAACCCAGAACAAGGATCTAGGTCTGTGCCTGTCAGTGACTTGTTATCTTCCTGCCTTGTAGCTGGCCCTGGAGCCCTGCCAGGGAGCATTCTCTGATTGCAGTGGCCCAGGAAGAGATGAGGTTGATGGCTGCACATGGGCAACACCAGGTCCATGCTCCCACTTCTGCATTCACCCACACATTTCTCTACCCACCCACCCACTTCTCTGCCTATGTTCCCACCTCTCCATCTACTCACTTCTCTATTCATGCCCCCACTTCTCCACCCATTCTTTCATCCATCCACCTCTCTTTTTTTTACCTGTCCAGGTACCCATATAAAGAACACTCTGCAGCATGGTTCTTGGCACCAGCTCATCCCTTCAGGGCTTTTGAGAAAGCACACATCTTGCTCCATGGAGTCTTGATCTCGTCTTCAATTCAAGTCTACAGTGTGTGCGTGCATGTGCAGGAACTTTATCTTTTCCAGCCTTCCCTCTCCCACAAATTGATTTGCTGCCTTAGTTGGTGCTTTGTGGTGAAAAGCCATCCCAGGAGGCACAAGTCCTGAGCTTTGTCTTCATTCTGCTGGGCATGCTGTGTGACCTGGAGTAAAGTCCTGCTCTCTTAGGCCTGAGTCCATCTCTAAAACGAGAAGTGGGCCATGATGGTGGCACAAAGTCCAAGTTCAGCTTGAGGTCGTGTTTTGCTTTACTCAGTGGTGTCTATCAACATGCCAAAAAATTGTGTTTAGAAACCCAGATGTTTGGTCTTTCTTGAAAAAAAGGGCTGGGTGGTGGCTTAGTAGTAGTGTACTTGCCTAGTTTATGTGAGACCCTGCTTTGATCTGCAACAGCACAAAAGAAAAAAAAGGGAGAGCACAGGATCCAGGGTTGGGAGCCTGCAGTATGATATGGGACCAATCCAGCCATTCTTCTCACAAGCCCAGCCACCCTGACAGGCCCTTTCATCACCTGGACAGTGAAGGAGGACTGGGGGTGACTCAGTTAGTTTATGTAACCGCAAATAGCCATCTGGGGAGGCTGACCAGAACCTCCTCTATTCCAGATGCCAATTTGACCAGGAAAAAATTGTATTCTGGGAAAATCCCCACTCTTGAGAGACACCATAGGTTTTCCGAAGGCAGAGAAAATGTGTCACAGAGGCTTCAGGAAACTCTTGTATGTTTTCTCCTTACCTATTCATTTATCCACCCATGAATTTATCTGTCTACCTACCCAACCATTGATCTATCTGTCCATACAACTGTCTATCCACCCAGCTATCCATTTATCCTCCTATCTATCCACTCACCCACCTATCTGTCCATTTGTCCACCTACCTATCTGTCCGTCTGTCTGTCCATCTATCTATCCATATATCCATTCACCCGTCCATCCATCTCTTTATCCACTTACTGCATTTTTCTTCACATGCCCATTCATCCAGACACACAAGTAAAGAAAAAGTTTTAAAAATATATCCAAGGGAGGAAACTGACCAACCGTTCAGCCACATTTATTTCCCATGCTGTGATCCATGCCTGGTGCTGAGATCAGCAAGTTGGACATGGCCTACGTGCTGAGGGACACTCAGCACATGGAACCTGGGGCTGTGGTCTCAGAGGTATCTGAGTTTCACCAGCAGGTGTGGGGGCAGAGTTCAGAGGTGCCATCTCTGGTGGCTCAACACAATCACAAAAGTTCCCTGCTGTGTGCCTCACTGCAGGCCCTCACCTGTAAGCCTACACACCTCAGCAATACACGGGGGACCAGCAGATGCTCAGGCCATAGCTCCATGCATATGACTCAGTCTCCCAGGTACATGGAGACACACAGATACACACACACACACACACACACACACACACAAGTGCTTTTGGGTGCTTCAAGGCATAGTCACGTGAGTGCATACACACACGCGCACAGGTAGAAATGCAAGTGGACATACACGAGAACATCCACAGCCTCTTAGAGGGAGTTTCCAGGTTTAGAGGCCTAGAGTTAAGCTAGAGTTACAGCAGAGAGACTGTGCCCACACCTCTTCCCTGGGAACAGGGCATCCAAGAAGTCCCTGTAAATCTGACTGCTCATGCTCCCACCCCGCCTGCTTCTCTACTCCTTATTTGAGGTCTGTACCTTAACTTCCTGGGATACAGGCAGTAGCAGGACTATGTTGGTTAGGTACAAGAGTCCCTGAGCTGGCCTCTGTCTAATGACGGCCAAGTCCCTGTGATGATTACATTAAGCAGAGGGTGCTGGCCCACCCTCCACAGTAGCTAGCGCACCCAAAGGTTACCACTCAGTGACCTTGCTCAAAGGCCTGAGCTTCCTAGGATGAGGTTGGGGTATGATTTCTTCCCAGTTACTATGGCTGATGCCCCAGCCCCAGGCAATTGTGGGCAACCCAGTTGTGTAAGGTCCCTGTTGGACCTGGCCTTACACCCTGGCCTCACCCTCCTGCCCCCAGTGAGTACCAGCATTAAGAAGCACAGACCATGGGGCAATATAGGAAACTCCATATAAATAAAATATTCATAGAAAAATAGTCTCTTACAAAATTTTCTGTTATCCAGTGGCTCACTTTCCAGAAGATGGAAACTGCTGGGAGTTTATTATTATCCTTCCTCACTCTAATGCAAACGGGATTTTTCTAATGGCAAAATTTGAACTGGGGAGGACAAAAGAATTGGAAATGTATTCTGGAAAAATATGTCTCCAAATCTGGACCAGCTTAAATTTCTGGATAAGTAGCAGCAAACAGCAATACATATATGAAGTATGTATATATATCTATGTAAGTATAAAGGACATCTGCTCTTTGTTCTTAAACATCTGGTGCTGCAAGGGGGCACTGCAAAATCAGCTAGAAGGAGCATCTGCATAAAGAATAACTATGCACAGTTCTAGTTGGCTCTTGGTCCTAGCGAGAAAATCATCCTGCCAGGAAAGCAAGCAGTCCACTTTGATTGCAGAAAACGGATCTCGATGAGGTGGAAGAATTTTTTAATTAAATAAATTAATATTATTTCTTATCAGAATAAATTGTTAAATATTGCTATGATGAGGCCCAAGGATCAGAGTTTTTGCTGCAGAAGACTTTTATCCACCATGGAGGGACCTGGGCGGTGTCAGGGGGAGGGTGGAGCAGCATTGGCAATGGGGCAGAATAGGGGAGGGCTCTGAGGGATTTTCCTACAGGTGTCTGCAGGAAACCCAGAATCAGTGCCCCTCAGCAGAAAAGACAAGCTCAGTGCTTCTACAGATCCCTGTGAAGATGGAGGCAGTGGCCTACAGAGAGATTGCAGCTTGGAGACTGTCCGGTCCTCTGCGATCTGGCCAGTGACAGAGGGTGCTCAGCCATGGCTCACTTGCAGGTGTACATCTCGGTGCGCTCACTGCAGGTGTTGCACTTGACGTAGCAGCACCAGTGGAACTTGCAGTTGCATTGCCACACGCGGGCGTACTGGTGGGTGTTGTAACCACGACCACAGCACATGAGGTCGCAGCCGCTGGCCTGGGGAGCCGTCTTGTTGCAGGCACGTCCCTGAGTGCCTACACTGCCTGTTACGGGGTCCTCCTCACAGTAATTGGGTGACTTCTCAATGTACACCAGGTCTGTGTCCATGGGCTTGCGGTAGGATAGTGGCTTCTTGATTTTCAGGAAGGTAGGTCTCTTATTGCGGCTGGCGCGCACAGGTTCCACGTGAACGGCCTCATTGTACTTGTCCTTGAGCACGTAGCCCAGCTCCCGGAACTGTGGCAGTGTGGTCCAGCATGTCTTTGTGGTACAGGAGCCTGATACACCATGGCACTTACACTCCAGCTTCATGTTCTCCTCCAGGATCTATAGGGCAGGCAGGGAAGAGCACAGCGCATGTCACTGCAGGCAATGAACAGCCAAGTGCAGCCCCCAGCCCACCTACCCCTGCCCCACCTAGCTAATTGTGGCTTTGGGTATTTTTGTTTTTTTTTGATGTGGGGAACTTGGACCTGGACTCCAGTCTTATCTCCACAGCCTTGGTGCTGGACCTCCCACCTGGACCTGCATGCCCTGCTTGCCTGTCAACATCTATGTGGTACCTAGTTTGGTGCTGAGACTGGAGCACACATTGGTTCTCTTTGGCCTGCATAGGTCTAATATCAATTGTGAACCAATGTTTAAAAACTAGGAGGGTTTACTTTCAAAGGTAGGATTCCAGGTTTTCTTGTAAAATTTGGGGCATCTGGCAACACTGGGGTAATAATCAAAATAGTTAATACCTGGCGCAGTTGGGCCCTGAACTGTTGGCATAGAAACTGATCCCAAAAGACAGCGTGGCCATTCACTGTGCCAGGCTTACTGTGTTTTTCAGACACTGCTGGGACGTGCAAACAGACTGTGGGTATGTCAGAGACCAGCTTTTCAGAATCTCATGTAGATGAGGATGCACACACCCAGGACTCAAGACATTTCATTTCCACACCGCACATGCACAAGGAACAGGGTCAAGAATGGGTATAGCAGCCACATTCCTAGGAGCTCCCACCTGCTTATCATCCTGTGGAATAGCTAGCTGCAACTACAGGCACTGGATGGAAAATGGCAGGGCAGTGACAACCAATGGTACAGCAAACCACACTAACAGGACCAACGTCAGAAATACATGAAAAGAAGTAGTCATGCTGGATTTCCACAGGATGGCTTCTTTTGAATAAAGGCAGGCAAAGCTGGGTTGTGTTGTCCAGGAGCCCATAGGGAGGGAGACGGTATACTTAATTAGAAGTAAAGAAATGAGGATCACAAATGTCAAGGGGGAGAGGCTTTGGCTGGCCAGGGCCACCCAGGGATCTTCTAGGGTGCTTGCAGTGTTCTCTTTCCCATATTTTCACTTTGGAAAATAATTTGACAGTTCCTCAAAAAGGGAACCTAGAGTTCACCTATGACCCAGCATACATACCTGAGATAAATGAAAATATATATCCACATAAGAACCTGAACATGAGCGATCATAGCACCATTAGCCATAATAGCTGAGGTGTGGGGACCACAGATGTCCAACCACAAATGAGTGGGTATATGAGACGTGGAATACCATATAATGGAGTATTAAGTAGCCAAAGCCAGGAAAGAAGTGCCGATAGATGCTGAGAGTGTGGTTATTATTAAAGAGGCAAAAGTTAACAAGTGTTGACAAGGATGCAAAATTACTACCCCTTGCACATGGTAGGAATGTTAGGACAGCCATTATGAAAGTCAGTATGGAAGTTCTTCAAAAAATTAAAGTAGACCTACCATAGGATCTAGCTACGATATATGTCCATCCAAAAGGAAATGGAGTTAACATGTGAAGAGACACCTGCAGTTGTGCTCTCTAGTCACAGCAGCCAAGGAGTGGAATCAACATACATGTCCATTGATGGATGAATGGATAAACAAAAATGTGATCTCTACACACAATGGAATATAATTCAGACAGAAAAAAAAATGAAATCCTGTTGTTTGTGACAATATGAATGGAACTGGAGATCCTTTTGTGAAGTGAAATAATCCAGGCACAGAAAGACACGTACACGTGTTCTCACTCGTGTGAAGTCTAAAGACGTCTCATACACTGGGGGTTTCCAGAGGCTGGGGAGAGTGTGGATGCTAAGTTATAGATGGGAGAAAGAAGTTCTGGTGTGCTAGTGATAAGAAGTTGCATTGTGACTACAGGTAACAAAAATACACTGTGTATTTTAAAAAGCTAGAAGAAAGGATTTTGAATGTTTTTGCCAAAAAGACTACATGGCTACATTGTGTGGTATGTGATTTATACCAGTAAAGCTGTTTAATTAAAAAGGCAATGCTAGCACTGGAAGGTTCTAGTGAAAAAGCAGTGTGAATGCCCTTGTGATTGTTTTTGCTGTAGTGAGCCCTGGGCAATGGGCCCTGAGCCAAAGGCTGGGATCCAAGTCCTGGGGGCATAGCTGCCACTCCTGCCTGAGGCCACATCTCTTCCGCATGGGTCTCCCTCTTCCTCTGGGGTCACTGATGGACTGAAGCTGTGATGGCATTGAATTGGCCATTAATCAGGTGACATCCAGCCTAACTCTGCTAACTCTGCATTCTGAGAGCCACAGGGACCGCATTATGTCTGCATTAGTTGGGCATAATCACAGCTGGCCTGGCCAGGGCTGGTCACCCAACGGGTAGCCAGCTTTTCCCAGAGGTAGACAGCCAGAGGCAGCATGTGCAGGACACAGCTGCATTCTTTGCCTCCTCCCTGCTCCCAAAGGCCAGGCTGACTCTAGCTTCCGAGCTGCCTGAGGGGACAACTTTCAAGCTGTCTTTTTTACCTGAGGATCAGGATCCTGCACTTCAGTTTCAGGTAGTCTGAGGCTCTGCAGTCCCTGTGATGATACGGTTCAAGGCACTTTCCCAGGTTCTGGCATGTAGTAGGTGCTCAGGAAGTGCCCAAACATAGCTTACTAGGGGAAGGCATTCAAGCCATTCCACAGGCTGCCTCTGGGTCCTGGAGTAAAGACAAGCTGCATAAGAATGCTAGGGTTGTGGGCTTGGCCAGTGGAAGGCGCTGGTGGGAGACCAAGGGGTAGAAAGTTCTGGGAGTTAATGCCGCTGCTTACTCCCAGCTGGGCCCCAGAGGATGGCCACAGAAAGCTGTGCCCCCAGCTCCTCCTTGGGTCTCCTCTCTGTAAAGTTCCTCTGGGTCCTAGCAACTCAGCCTTACATCCTTCAGGCTTCTGATGCCAGCCCCAATGTGCTGTACCATCCTGGCTCCATTAATTTTGTCCTATTTGATTAGCAAACTTTTTTAATAGCTTCATTGCAGTATAATCGTCCACATACCAGACAGTTTTCCCATTTAAAGTGCTCAATTTGGTAGTTTTGAGTATGTCTCCAGAGCTGTGTAGCCATCAGCACAATACAGTTTTAAAATGTTTTCATCACCTCCAAAAGAGCCCCCTTGTTTTTGCATCATTCCCCATCCCACTCTTCCCAGTCCCAGGAAACCACTAATCTCCATTCTGATTTTATAGATTGGCCCTGTTCTTGACATTCACATAAAAGAAATTGTATAATAGGTGGCCATTTGTGTGTCTGGCCTCCGTCACTCAGCATAGTGTTCAGGCTCATACATACTCCACATGGTAGCGTGTGTCAAACTTTCCTTCCCTGTCCTGGCTGAGCAGCATTCCCTGGTGTGGGAATCTCACCCACCCATTCACCAGCTGTTCCACAACTTTCATTCCCAATCTGAATGTGCCCAGTGCCCCTGCCCACTACTGTGGGAATCCTCTTGGTACCTCCACAAGGCTGAGCAGAGCTTGTCCTTCTGGCTCTAGACCCTTCCAGCCATTCCAGGTGTCTGGCTCTGCACCTGCCACTTCCTCATCTGAAAGCCAGTCTTTGCATTTAGATTGTTCCAAGAATCAGCCCACAGTTCTACTGAATGTGTAGTGTAGCCTGTGAGGATGCTCACCCGTGTGTGGTTGACAGAGCCTCAAAGAGGCAGCTTTGGAGACATCCGAAGGCTGAAAGAATGTAGAGGCCACCAAAGGGGATGGTCCTATCTGTAATGGCAGATCTACCACCTGGAATGTTCTGCAGCTGTTCAGGAGAAGGCAGAGACTCTGCACTCACCCAGGAGGGCCAGTCTACAAGGTGCATTCTTAAGAGAACAATAGGAAAATATGAAGTGTGCCTTGTTTGTGTGAGAAAAAAATCTGTTCAAGAATGCACCAACAAGTGCAGAGTCTTTACAGGACCACACATGGGAAGTTGGCAGGAGTGGCTGCCTCTGGGGAGGGCACCAGGCGCCTGAAGACTGGGTGGATCGACAAGGGTCTTACTTTTCCTGGGTTTGCTTTTTTATTTTTATGTTTTTAGTGGTGATGGTGATAGAACTCAGGGCTTCACATGCTAGGCAAGCATTCTACCTCTGAGCCACATCCTCATTCCTGGACCTACCTTTTGAATATTCTACCATGTCAGAAAAAAAGTCACCTCCTCCACTGAGCCTCTCCTGATTTTCAGGGTAGACATCCTCCTGGTTTTCACAGCTGTCCTGTTGGAGCCCTGTCTTCTGGTCAGGGTGATGACCCATGCATATGTCAGTGTCCCCCACTAGGCCAGCAGCAACTTGGGATGGACACAGACCTTGACCGCTCTGGTTGCCCTGTAAGAAAAGACTTGCCTCATAGCTGCAGCAGCTCTGTGCTGGTGAACTAGCCTTGAACCAAACCACACCAACCCCCACTTTGTTGTGATTTTCAGTTTCTGTGGGGTGACTGGATGCTCCCTTCATGGCCATTTTTAAGCAACCACCAGTTTCGCTGTGGGCTTACAAATTCTTGCATATTTACTGCTGGGTCTTGGAAGTCCACAGGCAGGCTCTGGCTCCCCATGGCCTGAAGTGTGAGCAGCATGCAGCCTCCAGCTGTGGGAGCACTGCACCTTCCCTGGTGGCCTGCCTCTAGGCCCTGAGAGAGGTGGGGTTTCAGGGTCTGACCCTTCTAGCCAGAGGTGGGATGCTTGGGTGGGCAGTACCTGCTCCAGAGCTCCCCACCAAGGTTTTAACATCCAGCTCCCCTTCCCCTGCCAGTCCTGCCCCTACTTACCCCATTATGGTCCCCAACAAAACCTGGACTGAACTTCCATCTAGACTTTGTTCCCAGAGAACCCCACCTATGATACTTCTCAGGAACCTGGCCAGTATATTCACCTCCAGGCTCTGACAAGTGGCCTAGAACAGAAGGGGCACTGACCCCTGTTTGCAAAGGGAATGTCCCTACGTGTACTCAGTTGTGCATGTACTCATTTGTGCAGTGAGAGTGAGAACCCATTACTGCCTGCTTTGGGCCATC